GCTGGCTCTGTTGGGCTTCACATTTAGTGTACCTTTTACACATTGGAAGCTTGTGGCAATTGTCTGCACCGTTTTTGTGGTTTTTTTTTTCCAGCAGGATGTGTCCTTGTCTCATAATTCTTACCAGAGTTCAAACTTTTTCGTAATGTTGTTTGACTAGACTACAGTGTGATATGTTTGCAGTGAAAGACTAGAAAGAGCACGTGACATTCGTTTTATCACAGGAGTCCAGAACCAGACCCGCCCGTCTGCCAGGTGTGCTAGCTCTTCCTCAGCTGACCTGGGCTGTTCCTGGAAAATAGCCCTTGCAACGAATCGGCAACATTGACTTCATTTTCTTTTTATGAAAATAACTGGGATTTGTCTTGTTTTAATGGCCTGAATGAGTATGCTAAGCTTAATCAGAGTGTGTAAATGCAGCAGGAAATTTGTCAAAAGAAATGCAGTGACTAATAATACTGCTTTTTAAGCTCCCAACAGCACCAATCTGATCTGAATTCCAGGAGTATTTTCTGTTGTGTTTTATTCCCCCCAGAGATGGTAATAATATTCACATGTACACAGTTTTTCTTTTAACTACATGAAAGGGCCCCTCTTCAGAGTTCTCCTTTCTCGTGACATGAGCACGTCCTGAACGGAAGCCTTGGCTGGGCCAGCATCTCCAGTGAAGAATGCCGTTCCCCTCGGACTTGAGCAACCTGAGTTAATTAAAAGGTTCAGATAAAGTTAATCATGTTTGGAACTCTCATTTTGCGCTGTGTTTTGATACCATCCGATGAGTCATCTTTTGGCAGTGCTGCAGCCTTCTTCCCTGCCGGGTTTGATCTGGACGGACCGGTTTGCTGGTCTGTCTGCTGGGGAGGCGCTCACAGAACTGCAGAGTCAACGTTGATCTGTGTGTGTCTGTGACTGGGGAGGGGCCGCAGCTGAACAAAGAGGAGGATTTAATAAGCGGGCTCTGGGCTCGTCAGGGGCGAGGGTCAGTTCTGAGGCCACAGCCTGTCTAGAGCATGGGCCTCTCCTCGACCCCTCCGCCCCAGTGAACTAGAGTGCTGACATTAGAAAAAGAGAATGAAATATCACTTCTGTTTGCTTTGCTGCAAATAAGTGGCCGGCCGGCCTGGCCGCCTTCCCGGAGGCCCGGAGCAGACTTCAGATGTGGTCAGTAAGGATCTGGACGGTGCCAGCCTGTCGGCCCATGTCCAAGCAGCCTGCCCCAGGAGGGCCAGGGACATGGCAGGCCAGTGACCGACTGCCTGCTCGCCTTCTCATCAGGTGGTCTGTCTTCTTTCTAAGATGAGATTGCTCCTTGGCTAAAGATGGATGGACCAGCTTTTATACACAGCCTCAGCCTCCACTTTTCTCAGCTCCTGAACTCAGAACGTAAAGCCCTTGAACTGAAGCAAGCAGTCAGGGACCATCTGGAAAATGCATACCACAGAATGTGGTCTGGTAGGACTTCTTCTGGGGCAGGGAGCCAGGAACCAGACCACATTGTCTTGGTTCCACATTGCAGCATGACCCTGCCCCTGGATCTGTGGTGATCAAGCAGCAGGCCTCTGAAGCCAGAGTGAGTCAAGAGTTTTACCCCAGGACTTAGAATACGTTCCTGAACCTCTGTCTCCTCATCTATAAAATGGGGAGGGTTGGAATATCTGCCCACCAACTAAGATGGAATGAGTGTTGATGACCATCACATGCTGGGGGCAGCACTGCCTTGCACATACGGGCACTGTATGCTATGAGGACTGCTGTTATCATAGTCTGAGCTTTGCCCAGGAGCTGTATTTTCTATCTTAAAGATGAAAAGCTTTATGATAGGACCAAGCAGGCACCCTCTTTTCTCAGTCTCCTCTCTAGTTGATGTTTGCTTTCTAGAGAGAACAGAACAGAGTGCACAAGATGCAGTGGTGGGTGCTGTCACTGCCAATGTGGGGCTGCTGGTGCCACCCCAGTTCTGTTTGCACGTGGCAGCCCTGTGCCGTGGGGCCTGGGCTGTGCAGCTCGAGCAGCCTGTGTGAGGCTTGCCTTACGTGCCTGGTCAGGAAACATTGCCACACATGCAGATCTGTCATGTCCTCCAAGGAGTGAGTGAGTGACTGGCTGTTGGCGTTTACTGTCTGGCGTTTACACAAGTGTCTGGCTGCACTTTGTTTTTGCAGGACATTGGTAGAAGAGGGAGCTGTGGTCCAAACAGGGATTGACTGCCGCTTCTGGGCCCTTTAATTGGAGCTTTGGTGTTTAAACAAGAAGATTGATTATTCAAATCTAAAAGCACCTTTGCAGGCGAGAAATGTGACACTGCTTTCCTAAACATTGCGACTTAAGAAACCTTATGGGGGGCACTTCTCTGCCCTGTTGGATGTCTGTAAGTCAGAAGTCAGCCCAGTTGTGACAGGATTGGTTTGGTCTGGAGTTCCAAATGCCGTATTTATTTACTGCATTTGGATTTACAGCAGCATGTCCAGGTTAGAGGTTCAAGCTGGAGTGATATTGAGGTCACTGTGGCCTCTCAATTATCTGCCATCTGCTCAGGTAAACTGAAGGTTCTAGGGGCTGTGTTCTTTTTTTTTAAAAAAATTTTTATTATTTTTGTGTGTGTACCGTCAAATCAGATCGGACTGGTACAGGAGGAGATTGTCCCTCCTTCCCCGGCAGAGCATCTGGTGGATTCGAACCGTGCGACTCTGGGATTGTAGTTGCAGCTCCTTGCCACTAGGCCACCAGAGCTCCTCAGGGCTGTGTTCTTAAAACAGAAGAATGAGGTTTCCAGATCGGAGATTGTGTCAAAACAGGTATTCAGGATTTTTCCTCCTTTTAATTCCCACCTGCAAAGCCCTGTACTGGACAAGCTATGGCTGCAGTGAATTAGAAAGCAGAAGCCTGTCTTGGACATTTGCACTGAGAAAAGTTTAAAAAACTCATAGCCAGTCAAGTCAATTTCAACTCTCATTGATCTGTGAATCCAAACCAAAAGCCAGGCTGATGCCTTCAGCTCAGTTCCAACTCATGACCACCTTCCATCTGGTTTCCAAGGCTGTAAATACGGAAGGTGGTTGTTTCATCCTTTTTAGAGCAGGATTTGAACTGCTGAACTTCTGGTTCACAGCCCAGTATTCCACTCATCACACCATCAGGGCCTCTTTAGAGACTTTATGGAGCAGGATAAAACTGCCCCGTGTACTTTTCAAGGCAGTAATCTTTATAGAAGCAGACTGCCGCATCTGCATCCTGCAGACCACCCACCTTTGAGCAGCCCAGGACTTAACCGCTGCATCACCAAAGCCCCTTCAATAAATAGCAAGCCTGGTGGAGTATGTAGCGGGACCTCTGTGCTTTGCGACCTTCTTGGAATGCTTCTTTCTGATCTTCTTAGGAACTTCTGTCAGGCTTCAGGGAGCTGGCTCCTATGATTCCTCAGTTCCCTCTCCTCATCCGTCGTCCCACCACGCAGCATGCACCCATGCAGAGACCACGACGCCTGTGCTCGCCCATCCTTGTAGCTGTGGTTCCTAGGTCTGCCTGACCTCGTAGATGCTGCCATGTGGGTTGAATGCATGAATTTGTGCTCCTTTGAGAGTTATCAGAGGGCTGCTCAGCCCGCCAAAATGATCAGTGAGTCTTAGAAAAATAGAAGAGGGGGAGCTCTGGTGGCCTAGTGGCAAGAAGCTGCACTGCAATCCCAGAGGAACACGGTTCGAATCCACCAGATGCTCTGCCGGAGAAGGAGGCGCAATATCCTCCTGTACCAATCAGATCTGATTTGGCGGTACACGCACACAAAATAATAAAAAAATAAAAAATAAAAAAAAAAGAAAAATAGAAGAGTGTGGATATTTTAGCCTACAGTGGCCTACGTTTTTAATGAGCCCCACAGCAGTATGTTTGGTGTTTTCATCTCACCTTATGTTCCAAGAGAGGCGCCCCTTGTTGTTTGGGGGGGGTTTTAAGTCTATCTTTATTTTTGTGACTACGATGTATCCTTCCTTTGTTTTTTACTTACTTTACTCACTCACTTGTTGTGTACCCTCAAATTTGATACTCACTTACTTGTTATGCACCGTCAAATCGGATCTAACTGGCACAGGAGGAGATTGCCCCTCCTTCTCCAGCAAAGGATCTGGTGGATTTGAACCGTGTGCCTTTGGGATTGCAGCACAGCTTCTTGCCACTAGGCCACCAGAGCTCCCTTGATAGGTACCCCTTATAATGGTAGAGTGTACAGCTTCGTGAATTTTAAATAAAAGGTTGTCTTCACAGTCGGCAAGCACTTGAGCAACAAGTGAAAGTGCATTGCATGCTTTAAAGGTGTGGTGTGCTGTCCCAGAGCACGTCTCGTTACCTGGGTCTCGGAGCTGAACCGAGAGACTCCCTCTGAGCCCTTGGCCCAGTGGGCACACCCAAGGCTGCTTTCCCTGCCTTGGGGAGGCTATCGGACACAAATACCATCCATCCTGGACAAGGGTAGAGTCGATGTTAATGTGCTTGTATTTTGACAAATTGGATCCTGCTCCTGCCGCTATCTTTTAAAGCTTTGTTAGGGTCTTTTCCCCCCATAGGGTCATCTGCCTGCCAGCATTTGAACCTTTCCTCTAAGTTCAAAGTCAAAATGAGAGATCCATTTCTGGCAGTCAACACACAGGATTTGTATGAAGGGAGGTTTTGTTTGGAGTGACACACCCGACTGATGAGTTTTTGCACTTGGCCGGCCTTTCTAGTGGAAGCAGCCCTTTGAACTCGTGCCGAGAGTGGGCCTCCCCAGCTGACCTCTCTTCTGGGTCATCAGCACTCCCTTCTCTGTCAGCTGGAAGTGCATCTCTAACACGCACACACACAAATTCACACGTGCGCTCACTCAGTCTCTCACACATCCACTCATGACTCACGTTTGCATTAACATTCTCCTTCCTGTGGAATTAGCAAGGGTTGAGTTCCCCACGCCTGGAAGCATTGCGATGGCAAAGCTGGCTTCGTAACCATGCTCTCCATTCCTCTCATAGTGCTCTTGAAATTCCGCACTGACAAAGGACGAGACCCAAGTTCCGAAACCTATGGGGAAGATTGTGAATTGCTGCTGCAGATTCGAAACGACGTGCTCGACTCGCTGGGCGTCAGTCCTAACCTGCTGCCTGAGGACTTTGTCAGGTTGGTCTCGGGGTGAAGTCCAGCTTAACCTGGACAGACAGATGTCTGTTTTCAGTATCTCCCTCTGTTTGGAGAAGTTCTTTATTTAAAGAATTGACCCGCTGGGAAGATCCCTCTCTGCTGCAGTCTGCCATAGGTCCTTACCTATCACACATTTTCCTTCCATGTGGTCCAAAACTCAGAGCAGTAGAAAAATCTACCTTCACTGTTCTGCAACTTCATCTTTTTGCTGTTCTTGACTTTGTAGGATGTTCCCAAATCATTACAGCTTCTTCCCTCCTCTCGATACCTCTGTATTCCAGGGTGTGGCGCACCTACTTGATCACACCATCCCAGACGAACTCAGTGTGTCCAGGCTTTGTTGTGACACCCTGCAGGAATGCATAATATTCTCATGTATATGTGTCTGTGTGTCGTTTTGTATGTGGGCTGATATGTCTACGGGACCGGAAAGGGTTGCTGGGCCAGAGGGGCATGATTGTCATTTGAAGAGTGTTGCCCTCTGCGTGTGGCTTTTCAACCTAAACCCAGCATCATCTCAGTGTAGAGAGTGGGGTATTCTCCTCAGGCTACTGGTCTTTTGCTCTTCTTCTGCACTCAGTCCCAGGATCTTGATTGAAGTGTAAGTGTTGACCGGTCCTGAACCTCTGCTTCACTCTGTATTCAGATTGTACTTGTTTGTTGTTGTTGTTGTTGTACCCATCAAGTAGATTTTTCACTCAAACCAACCCTGTGTAGAACTGAACAAAGCACTGTCCAGTCCTGTGCCATCTCCATAATCATCGCTGTGTTTGAGCCCATCGCTGCAGCCACTGCATCACTTCACCTCGTTGAGGGTCATCGCCTTCTTTTACGGACCCTCGAGCAAGCAAGATCTCTTTCCTCAGGTCCTTCGTGATAATCTGTCCCAAGTGTTTGAGATAAAGTCTCCCCATCCTCACTTCCTGTGAGCATCCTGGCTACGCTGCTCCCAAGACAGAGACGTGTGTGTTGCTGTTCTGTGTTTGTTCATTACTTATTGTTCCTTACCACCACCATATGCAGATGCACTGGGGCTTCCTCTGCCTTCCTTGTGCATCGTCCTGTTTTCACATGCATGTGAGATGAAACTTCCAGAAGGCGGCCAGTCTATGTTCACGCAGAAATTGCACTGTAAAGACCATACAGGTAGTATCATAGTAACAGTGTTGTTATTGTTGCTGTGTACCTTAGAGGGGGAACTGCCCATAGCTGACCGTCTGGCAGGCTTTTCAGAGACAGTTAATGGCACAGGAGGAGATTGCCCATCCTTCTTCCACCGAGAGCCGTGTCCCTTCAGGATGGCAGCGTGGCTTCTTGCCACTAGGCCACCAGAGCTCCTTATAGTAACAATAGGTGTGGTTTATTGAGCAACTGTTAAGCACCATGGATGTTGCTTTATGTACATGGTCTCCCTTAGTTCTCTCAACAGCCCGTTCTATAGCTGAGGAAACTAAAGCTCACAGAAGCAGAATGACTTCTGCACGGTTCTAGAATTACCAGCCCCACGTATTGAAGACTTTCTGTACTTATCAGCCGCATTAGTCACCACAGCAAGCCCCTGAGGTATGTATCAATTCCCCACGTCCTACGTGAGGAAACGGAGGCCCAGGACATCACTGCCTCTGGGCTCTAGTCGGTGGAGAGCCGCAATCCCATCTCCCCTCTTCTCCCCACACTGCTGACTTCTGGTGAAGTTGGTTGGATATTTTTGTTGCCGTTTTTGTTTTATTTTCGTTTTGGGATTTTTTTTTTATTTGCTTTTTGTGTTCTTTTGTTTGGTTCCCACCCCCACCCCCACCCTAACACAAATGACATTGATCAAATTCCCTTCTTTTCTTGTTCGTCTGTTCTTCACTTCTGCTTGAGAACCTCATTTAGACCCTAGTTGACTATCTAGCTGTTCAGTTCAGAGCTAGCAGGGACCTTTGAAGCCCCTTCAGAGCCTTTGCCCAGAGTGGGCTTCTGTCAGTAGATGGGGAATTTTTGAAGTTGGCAGTGTGTGAGTGCGGCCAGAGGAATTGCAGGCCAGCTCAGCGCTGGAAGATTGGGGTCCAGGAGAGGACCCCCTCCACCTCCCACCCCAGTGAGAAGTGAAAAGCAAGCCTTGCCTCTCTGGGCTTCCCAGCAGGTGAGAGACTGTCAGCACGCCCAAAAGCAAGGAGTCTCCCGGTGCCAGGCCGGGCCACGGGCCGTGATCAGGCAGCCGAGTGACTCATTTGGGCACTTAGAGTGATGAATGACCTGGCTCCTGTTCACCGCCCTGCTTCCCAGAAGGGGAAGCCACTTCCTCGCGAGTCACTGGCTGGCTTTGCGCTCAGAAGTGTTTTCCCTGCCTGCCTACCCTCTGCAGACTCTGCTTCCCCGGGCCTAGGTCCTGTGAGTTAGGTGCTCCACTCGAATGCCCTTCAAGTAAGAGGCATTCAGCCTCCTCTTAAAGCCTGGCTGGGTAGGTGGAGAGCGGATCTGAGATGCACCCAGGGCGCCGCCTGGCAGCTGAGCGTCCCCATCAAATGTCTGTGCCTCGTAAATTGCCAGCCACTGCTGCCACTTCTAAGGATAGCAATCTGTGCACAAGCCTTGGTCCTTCTCATTGGCAGAACCGGCCTGATAGTACATGGTATCATTTCAGTGACTGGATTTTTTTTCTTAAGAGCTTTATTGCTTTTTTGAAAGTAACAGGTGTCCATTACCAAACGGTTTTAAAAGACAAGAAAAGACTTACCCAGAACCCACTGAAGGAGGAGATGCAGCTAGCATTTTGGTGTCTAGGCTTATCATACACTTTATTCTGTGTACATGTTCGCCCTATCCCTAAAAGTCAGTGGTTCGAACCAAACAGCCACTGCACAGGAAGACAGTGTGGCTTCTGCATCTGTGAAGATTACCACTCTGCTCTGTCCTGTAGAATCACTTTTTGCTGGAATTGACTTCAAGACAACAGGCTTGGGGTTTTGGCAGGTGATCTTTCACCATCGTAATGCTCCAGAACCATGGGTTTTTTACTGTGCCATATTGGTGGACATTTAAGTGTACAGTTTTCCACTCTTAAGAATACTTAGAAACATTCGGGGAGCTCTGGTGGCCTAGTGGCAAGGAGCTGCAACTACAATGCCAGAGGCGCACGGTTCGAATCCACCAGATGCTCTGCCGGGGAAGGAGGGACAATCTCCTCCTGTACCAGTCAGATCTGATCTGACGGTACACTCCACACACACACACACACACACACAAAATTTAAAAAAAAAAGAATACTTAGGAACATTCATAATTTGTATATTTAGCTTAAGTTTAATATTTTTCAAATTACGTGAATATACCTGTTATGGAAAAGTGAGGCAGTACAGAACAGATTTACAAGTGAAAGTGGAAATTGCCTGGGAAAAACCCCACTGATTTCATATTCTGTATTTTTACACAATTTCTAACATCAAGTCACTTCTTACTCGGGCCCTGTAAGGACAAGGTAGAGCTGCCCCATAGGGTTTTAGAGTCCTTCTTTATATATTGGTTTGCATACAAAATTAATTTATATTGTTTTTTGCTTGTATATATTATTGATTTTTTTTAATCAATAATCATTGTTATTTAAGATGCATTCATTTTAGGAAGCAATTATACAATAGAAATTGGGAACAGGATTAAAGATAGTAGTACAGTGTAAGGAGTTAAAAAAAATCAGTTCATTATGAAGAATTTCAAACATACAGCAAACTTCAAAGAATTTTAGTACCGTAATGAATACTGCATTTCATTCACCTGGGTTATCATTGTTCAGATTTTGCTTTTTGGTAAAGGTGAAGGGCTTCGTGTTGACACGAGATTTCTGAATGTGTCCAAGTTCATGTATTGCATTTGGTTCTTATATCGTTTTCAAGCTAGAACAAGGGCGAACACGTACTAGAACCTTGGGAATACTGTAGACTCTTCTCTCTCCTGTAGGGCCACCATGAGTAGATGATAGCAAAATGACAGTCAGTTTTGCAGGGATTTTTTTTAAATCTAGAGTACATTTGTTTTATATCTTTGTTGAACTCATTTAGTAGTTTTAATAGATGGGGAGGTTTTCCTGAGGGTTTTTATATACACAGCAATGTCATCTATAGATAATATAGTATTAACATCTTCCTTCCTAACACCTTCCTTCCCAATCTGGGCATCTTGACTTTTTCCTTCCTTCCTTAATTGCCCTAGTCTGAACCTCCAATACAGCATGCAATAGAGCGGTGCGAACTGACGTCTTTATCTCGCTCCTGATATTAGAGCAAAACCATCTAGTCTTTAAGCATTAAATACAGTGATAACCGAAACCAGACCCATTGCTGTTCTCATCAGGACAGTGTTTCAAACAGAATTGTTTCATAGGATTCCAAGGCTCTGATATTTATGGACATAGACTATTGCATCTTTTGCTTAGGGAACAGCTGATGGAATTGAACTGCTAACTTGATTAGCAGCTGAGTGCCCTGAAATTGAGAGAATATTTTCCTAGTTTGTTAAATGACTTAAGTAAGTTGAATTTTGTCACGTGCTTTCTCCATGTCAGTAATGGTGGCCATACAGTTCCTGCCTTTTATTCTGTTAATGCAGTCTATTGCATTGATGAATTTCCAGAACTATGACCCAGTTCATTTGTGGCCGATGTAGTGAAATGGGAACTAACCTGGTTTTGTAAAATGTAGGTAGCTGGAATGGGGAAAGTTACTGATGTAAGCCCTGAATGGAAGATTTGGAAGAGGCATAATAAGCCCTTTCCAGAGCCTGGTGTAGGAATTGGATTATTTCCAGGACTACAGACTTCAAAGCACATTCGAAGTGGTACTGTTGGCCTCCGTTTTTAGTGGGCCTCTGTCACTCCTAGCTCTGCCGTCATGTGATTTGGTTTCTGTGGGATGCACATGTTATTATTGTTTTCTGAGAAGATGATTGAGTTTCTAGTAGGACAGTTTACAGTTTTTCTGTTCTGCTGTTGTTTTCATATACCCATTTTACAGATTTGCTCCATCAGCTGTGATTAAATTGACAAGAAGCAGTTTGGAGCCCTGGAATTTTCATATGTTAAGCTAACCCTCCATTCCTGGCCTAAGTCATAATAAATTTAGAGGATGTGTTTAAGAGAGACAAAGATTTGAATGAACATTTACGAAGCAAATAAATTTTGTATTCAACCATGTTTATATATATTTTGATTTGTAACATTAATTTCAGTACCTTGCACAAAAAATAATTGCGTATTTCTCACTTCCTCTCCATAATTCTGATTTCCATTACTACTCCTATACCTCTCATTGTCTTCCCTTTCTTTCATGATACTGTGCTGATCTTCCCTTTATTTTACATATTGTTGTATGTGCCGTCGAGTGGCCTGCGACTCATAGCGTCCCTATGTACAACAGCCCTAAACCCTGCTCTATCCTGAGCCAATCACACTGTCTCTGACACCTACCCCCATAACCCAGACACTGAATCAATCCATCTCATTGAGGGTCTTCCTTCCTGCGCTGTCCCTCCACCCTCCCAAGCATGACAGTTCAACTTGTGCAGATTTTACTGTATTTGGGTTAAAAAAAAAAGATGATGCCTATGTAAATAAATTCACTTTGTACAGCACGTGAGAGCACCATGCTACAAAGAACAGAGATGGTCTCATCGTGTCCAGATTCCTCAGGCAGCCGCCGTGTAGCTGCTTGGTGTCCAGTGCCCACCTCTGGGCAGGTGCTGGAGGAGCCCTTTGGCTCCCAGGATGGTGTGTCAGCAGCAGGTGACCGCTTCTGTGGAAGTGTGCCTTCTGGGTGACCAGATGAGCCCCTTTCTGTGTGGGCAGCCAAGACTTTTCTGTCCCTCGGTTATCGTTTCCGGCCCCACATTTCCCAGGCCTCCTGCGTGTTAACACAGGCCTCTTTGCTGACATATGTCTGGGAGCAGCATCCCAAGCCCACCACCCATTCATTACGGGTGAGGAGAGAATTACGAGAATGTGACCAGGGCATTGAAACATCTGATATTTGTAAAACCTTATTTTAGAAAGCATGGATATAGTCTTTCCTTAAATTGGAAAAAAAAAAAGTGTTGTGAAAGGATTCCTGTTGCCCAGAGTTCAAAGGTCTTTCCCAAGCACTCCCTCACCCTGGATCCAGTTTCCTTTCCACGCCTGGATGCCAGCATTAGCATTGCTCCGGGTTCACACCCTGGGAGCAGGCCATGTTTGTATGATGTTTTCACCCGGGGCCCACTGCTGAACTTCTCCAGATGTCGTCGGCATGCCTGTCATCTGGGGCTCATCTCACTGGTCTTCTCTTTCAGGTACTGCTTCTCTGAGATGGCCCCTGTTTGCGCCGTGGTTGGCGGTATCTTGGCACAGGAAATTGTGAAGGTAAAAAAAAACTCCTCACCATGGTGTAGAGCTGACCCAGGACAATGTGACTGTCAGTGGACCAGAAGACAGGGTAGCCTAGGAGCCAACCCAGCCTACCGTTTGGGGTGGTTTTCCCTCTCATCCTTCTCCACCTCTTCTTTTTCCTACCATTCTGTGCAGGTAGGTGGTCATTCAGCACATGACCCGAGCGAGCGTGGTTGTGTGCTGAATAACCCTGCCGAGGTCAGAGCTCGCCTTAGTTTCTCATCAGTTTCTCATCCCTAACCCTAACCCTGGCCCTGGATGTGTATTTTTCCCCCCTCTAATACTGACAGTATTTGCCAGAAATGCAGCTTCTCTTGTGGTCTCTGAAACAGGGACCCTCCTATCCCCCAGTCAGGAGGAGGAAACAAGCCCAGAGAACTAAGCTGTTGAGTCAGTTCCAACTCGGAGCGATTCTGTAGGTCTGAATAGAACCACACCATAGTTTCCGAGGTCTGCCCAGCTTTCTGCTTCACTGAGTCCAAACCAGTGCCCTTTCATTTAGCAGCCGTGCATTTTAGCCAGTGCACTGGGCCTCCTTGAGCCTAGAGAAGGAACTCCAAAACCTGTGTTCTTTCTCACGACTTCATACGATTTCTCTCCATCCACCCATGACACTGGCTTCAAGCCTCTCCTGTCGTAGCTCGCAGATAGGTGTTTGTGCATTTAAGCAGTCAGTGCCTTTGAGGCAAATGCACTGTCCAGGGGACCCAGGAGGCCACACCGTGCAGAAGGGTGTGTCCCCTCAGAAGGGAAGTTTCTTGCCTGGGTCCCCTAACCCGTAATTTAGCTATTGGAGTCGTTCCTCATCCGTTTGGGTTTCTGAAACTATAGCATGTTCTCAGACGTCTTTTCTTTGAGAACATTGTTACTTGGTCAGTGGTGGTAAATTTGATTTTTGCAGAGCCTTGACTGTTCTCCATGATCCTAGGGCGGAGTTGAGTTTAAATTGTTTAACAGTGCCTTGCATGGTAGATGAATACTGAGACCCACTTCTCGGCCCTTTGTCTTCACATCTGTAGATCCAAAGCACAAGCCACCGTTTGGTAGCCCCAGCCTTTTCCTAAAGCCCTTCTTCTCTCCTGATCCTTCGTTCAGGGCCAGCTTCTGTCTTACCTCTGTCCTGAGCAGGGACATGCACCTAAGAGAAGGAAGGGAAGCAGCGGGGAGAGTTGTGAGGCCAGATTGGTCCCCCTCTGCCTTCGGGCCTAACCCCGAGTGGAATGGAGACATTGTCCGAGGCCCAGTCTGAGAGTTTGCAGTACCTTCCAGAGTCCTGTGTGAGGAAGGATTCCAAGGGTGCGTGTAGAGAGACTTCACAGGCTAGACGGCGGTATAGACCGTGCATTCATTCATCACACTGCCCGCAGAGGAAGTTCACTCTTCACTTCTTCCCTGTCCTTCTCCTTAATCCTTCTGTCCTACCCCTTCCTGACTTCCTGCCTTCATCCTTAGGCTAACGCTGATAGTTCCCGTTCTGGGGTTGGTCACTTTTAAGGAGAGGGCCCCTCTGCTGTAATGGCCCCTTACAGCCCATCTATTGTTTGCCTGAAAGTTGAGCCACGGAGATGGGTTTTGTTTTGGGCTCATAGGATGACTTAAAGGCCATAGTCCTCAGGTTCCTCCAGTCTCTGTTGGACAAGTAAACTTGGCCCTTTTTTCTTAGTCGTTTTTTAGGGACCTTTTTGTTTGTTTTTAACTGTGGCGCACCTGTGAATTTTTGTACTCGGTAATGACAGCAGCAGTAACAATAGGTGGCATTGGTTGGTAGCCCACTGGTTGCCAGACTGTGTTCTTTGCACAGGTGAACACAATTCATGAGGTCGGACCTGTCCGAGCCCCGAATGTACAGAGGAGGAGCTGAAGGACAGACATGTTAGATTGGGGGCCTCAGCAGCCCGGTTTCTGAGCCCTGTGCTTCACCACGGGGCTGCCCTGACCTGTCGCAAGGATGCCCCGGATGGTACCACCCTGAGGCAGCCATCCTTGTCCCCTCAGCCTCGGGTCCACACACCCTGCCAGGCTGCTCCCTGAGCTGCCCGTGTGGAATGGAGATTGGGGGTGGAGACAGGTGCCCTTGACCCCGTTGTTGGCGGTGCCACTCTGCAGCCCAGTCCTCACACTCACACAGCCCCCTCCTTCCTGCCGCTGGGACAGCTGCCGCCAGCATCTTGTTTCTGTTTATCCCGGCCAGCCCGAGGACTGCATTCTTGGTTGCTGGGCGTGTTTGGAATCTTCCCTGCCATCGTCATGCCTGGGAAGTGCTTTACCTTTTGCCCCATGATCACCCCGTGCCCTGCTCTCTTGTCTCCACCACGCCCCTTACTTAGCCTCCAGCCAGCTGGCCATGGGCCCTGTGGGTGGGGGCTCAGCCCTCTCCCTGCTCTCCTGTGAGGCCTCTCTCTGGTACCCTGCTTTTCTCATGCCCTTCCAGACACCACAGCCAACAACTCTGTCCTCTGGCAGGTCCCTGCAGACTCCGTGCTGCTTAGTGGGTTCCCTCTCCTGGGGTTTGGGCTCTCAGAGTTCATCTGCTGTGGGTCTCAGGCCCTGCTGCCAGGATAAGGGCTTGAGGTCCCCAGGTATTGATAGAACACTTGTTAGTACCCGTAGCTTCTCTATGTGCCTGGGCCTGTTACAAGTCTGATGGCATTTCCTGGCCACCAGAAATAGCAAGCAGGTGCTCCAGGGTTTTCTGTTGAGATGCAAGCTCAAGGAGGCACACCTGATTCCAGACCCCAGCGGGTGGTGGCCAGATCAACACCTTCAAACCAGCCAGCACTTCTCCTCCAGCCTGGCCTCCCTACTGCAGACACAGTCATCTCCCCAGACCTCTGCCCACTGCCAGGGATTCTCCCTGTCCGAGGAGTCTGGGCACCGTGGCCTGGCTTTGATGCCCACCAGCCCCTTCCTCCCATCTCTCAGTTTAGAGTGCCTGTCTTCCTCCTGCCGGCACACACACACGGAGTTTCATCATCTAGACAGATCTGAGGTCATAAACCCGGTACACAGGGCCGTCATCCAACTGCCCCATTTATGAAATAGCTACATGGATTATAAAATTCATTGCCATTGAGTCACGTCTAAGTCATGGCCACTATCTGTCAGGTTTCTGAGGCTGTAAATCTACACCCCACCTCAGTGGTACAGTGTATTGAGTATTTGGGCTGCTAACAAAAGAGTCGAGTTTAGAGTCTCTGTAAAAAAGATTTACAGCCTCGGAAACCTAATACAGTGTCAGTGAGTCCAAATCCAATCCAGCAGCAGGTGTGGGTGAGTAAATCTTCAGGAGGGGAGCAACTGGGGGGTGTGAACCTCTGACATTTTGGTGTCAGCCCATCACGTTACATGCCACACCACCAATGCCCCTTGTACAGCTACATTTCAAATGTCAGTGTCACCATGGAGCATCACTTTGCGTGCGTTATCCCAGGCAGGCCTCCCCAGCTCTGTGGGCCTGTATGAGCTGCCATGGTCTCTGACGAGGCACTGCTCTGCTGTGCAGATGGTACCACTCAAGGAGAGGTGGAATCGTCCCCATTTCACACCAAGGAAAAGGAACGGGCTTGATCCTCCATTCACCGAGAAGGTGTGGGGGGGGCACGTTCATGAACCCAGAGAGCCTTCCTTCTGAATGCCTAGCGAAGGCTCTCCAGAACCATTGACCCGACCCAGCCGTAGGCAGTGCTCGTGTCCACTTCGCGGTAGCACTTGGTTAGTTCCAGGCCCCTGTGAACCCTCTCCCCAGAACATGCCCCACACGGGCTCAGCATGTCATCACACGCCCTGCGAGTTTGTCTTCACATTCCTATACTTCTGTTGACCTCTTCCAGGACCTCTGGGTCCTGGCGTCATCCTCTGGGAGGCAGGTGGGTCCTGCCACAGCAGTGCGCGTCCCCAGTGACTCTCTCCTCTCGGGTGATAAAGGTGACAGACAGCCCAAGAGCAAGGAAACAGATTGCTGCCTCTATCAGTTGAAATGTTATAAATAATCATTACTGCCCCCCACCACACCACGCTCCTCTGTGCTGGGCATTGTTTCAGATACTCCCAAGTCCATCTTCTGTTTTAATCCCCAGAATAATGCATATGTTATTCTCCTTTCACATGGGGAAAGTAGGGTTCAGGGAGGTTAAATGAGCTGAGAAAGGACAGAGCAGGGAGTGGTGACAACCACACATCTCCAGGCATCACCAGGATTGTCCCCTAGTGAGGGCCACTGCCACGAGACTCACACGTCCTCCTGCATTGGGAGCCCTGGCGGCCTAGTAGGATGAGCATTAGGCCGTTTCACACCCACTGGCCCCACTGTGGGAAAGAGGTGGGCCCTGCCCTGTCCTGTCCTATAAGGATTCACGTCGTTGGAAACCTCAGGGCAGTTGGCTCGGTGCTGGCTCTCATTTGGGCTGGTGGTCCTTTGTAAAGCTTGTGCTAACCTCTCTGGCTTTTCTCACCAGGCCCTGTCTCAGAGGGACCCTCCGCACAACAACTTCTTCTTCTTCGACGGCATGAAGGGGAGTGGGATTGTGGAGTGCCTCGGCCACAAGTGAACCCAAGGCGACGTGATGGCCCAGAGATGCTGACCCCATCATCCGAGACTCTGCCTGTCCCCTTCCCCTACAGGCACCTCCAGCGGGGGGAGTGAAGCAAATGGACCAGTACACACCACTTCTGCGAGTTTGTGACGGTGTAGGTAGCTGCTTCTACCTGCCGGCCTGTGTGCCCGCCCAGGCCCGCGGGCTCCCTAGAGGGTTTATCACCTCAGAGCACCCCTCTGGCGCCTCCCTGGTGTGCAGGCCCAGCCTCGCGGCCCCTGGGGCATCACCAAGATCCCTGCCAGGAACCAAGCTCGCCTCGTTGCTTAGGAGCTTCTTACCACCTTCTTGGACTCGGTCCCTGCCTGATGTCATAGAGCAAGGAGTGACTTCAGGTGGGGAATAGGGCTCGGGCCCACGCGATGCCAGCGGAACCAGAGTTCCAGCTTCAGACAGGTGCCTGTAGAGAGGAAAACAGGCCCAGCGGAATGTCTTCCTCCAGAATTGCAGATCTCGAAAAACAACAGGTGCATCTGCTGGGCCAGTCTGGAGCTGGGGTTAGGATTAGTGGAGTTGAGCCTGGGCCTGGGAAGAGGGGGCTGCCCCCAGCCCCAGGGGCTTAGGGGAGAGCTCGTTCACCACATCAGCAGCCACGCTCGTGGGGCTGCGCCGGGACGCGGCCCACAGGAGGCGTGCAGTTACGGCTGTCAGGCCTTCATTCACCCCTGGATCGCAGCTGTTTCTGTTCCCCGTGTTCCCTCAACTTGCCTTGGTTTTTTCAAAAGCAGCAGTAGTAGAAATAAAAGTCAGCTGGGTTTTGGATTTCAGCGTTGTGGTTTTGTTTGGTTTTTCACATTAGAAACATTAGCATCTGACAGGGATTCTAGTAGATGATTTAACCCAGAACACCCACCTGCTCTCCAGTCGATCTGACTCACAGTCACCCCAGCAGGAGTGTCCACCGGGTTTCCGGGGCTGGAGACTGCCACGTCTTTCTCCCGCCAAGCTACTGGCGAGTTCAAACCGTTCATCTTTTGGTTAGCAGCCAGGCTCCTCAGTGGCCCTTTAGGCCTGAAGGAATACCAGTGGGGCATTCTCACTCCAGCCACCCCTGCGCCCCTGTCAGGGAAGGCAGCTGGAGTCAAGACTGCGAACTCGAGCTTGGAGAGGCTTCTGCTTCCCCCGGCTCCTCAGTAACGTGGGTAACGGCGCTGGGGCCCGAGCAGGAATTACCCTGATGGCAGTAGCAGTGTGAAAGTGCTCAGGCAGGTGATACTGTTGGCTCCCATCTGTTCCCTCCGTTCTTGGTGAGAAAGTGGGTGACAGTCCCATTTTAGAGTTGAGGTCCCCAAGTTCCACAGCCAGTGAGAGGATAAGCTTCCACTGGGGCCAGCTCTCTCGCCAGCCTCACAGTGCACCAGGACACCCCCACGCGTTCCTAGGGTGACGAGTGTGAGCGAGGGTCTGCCTCTGTTCAGACGTCTGCTGTGGAAGGTGAAGAACTCATGTCCAAAGGAGGGCCTCGTCACCCCACTCCCACCTGGGAGAAGATGAGGCTTCTGTTTCAGTTGCCACCTTTGGAGGTTCTCGTTCTGGACTCCGTAAGTTCAGAACCAGCAGTGCCAAGGTCAGCACTTGGAAATCACTCTGATGGGAAATTCAGAGCTACTTCCTCATTTCCCTTCTCTGCAATGCGAGGCCTTGGTCACAAGGGGGCACTTGTGGGGCTGGCTGGCTAAAATAACTCCCTGTGCAGACAGCCTTGCCCTGAAAGCCTTTCAAACTTTTCCACCCATCTTCCCCGCGCACTGGGGATTGAGTCATCTGGAGCAGACCCCTGGGGGTCTGGGGGGAGGGAGGAAGCCGGAACCACCAGCCCCAGGCGAGAAGCACCGTTCTTCTCCATCCTCCTAGTTCCCGTTCTCCCACAGTCCATGCTCCTGGTCGGCCTGTGGCGACTGTTGTAACTCCCGGAAGGACCTAGTCCATTCAAGAAACCCAGCTGTCCCATCACTCAGTCCTGGCTCAGTGCACCCCTCCATTGGATTTCCCGAGTTGTCAATCTCTTTATTCCTAGCTTTCTTCTGAGGGGGTGGACTTGAAACCTCTACCTCCTGGCTCACCATGTAACACGGCAAAGGTCCTTTGATAACTCTACATTTGCCTGACTCGTATAAATAAGATAGTATTGATCTTTTATGACAGCTTTAACTAGGCATCAAATTTTAAGAGTTCTTCATGTTGTAGCATGGATACGGACTCCATTTCTATTTATAGATGAGTAATACTCTATCGTATGCATATAAACCAAATCAAACCTCAGGTATCAAGTCATTTTGGACTCCGGGGCACCTGCCAACAGATTCCCAACGGTATAAATCTTTGTGGGAGAGGAGACAGCCCAGCTTTCTCTCAAGGAGCAGCTGGTGGATTTGAACCACGGATATTTTGGTTAGTAGGCCAACAGTTTAGCTACTATGCACCAGACCTCTTTCATTCGTTGTTAAAGATGTAATTTTTAAAAACCTTGAGATATTCTCCACTATTAGGATGACTATACTAAAAACTAATAAAAGATGTTGATGAGGATGTGGAGAAATTGAAACCCTCATCCAGGGCTGCTAGGAATGCAAAATGGTCCAGCTGTTGTGGAAAAGTTGGGGGATTTCTCAAAAAGTTAAACATAGTTCCCACACAACCCAGCAATCCCACCCCTGGGTATAAACCCACGGGATGAAAGCAGAGACTCAAAACACGTGGACAGCAATGCTCACTGCACCATTAGTCACAGGGCTGAGCGTCTGTGCCTCCGCGGGTGGATGGATCGATGACATGTGGTGTAGACGGGCGTATGAAAGGAGCCCTGGTGCCATGTGGCATGCTAACTGGAATGTCAGGTGTTCGAATCCACCCACTGTTCTGTGGGCTGTCTCCTCTCTTAAGATTTACAGACTCGGGAACCTGTCGCTATGTCCTTAAAAAAAAAGGACAACAAACTGAGCAAAGCAGAGGGCCAGTGATAGAGGAAGACCCTCAACCACATGGTTTGATACAGGGACTGCAAAAATGGGCTTGAGCACTTCTGAGATCATGAGGCAGGGAAGTGCAGGTTCTGATCTGTTCGCTGTGCAGAGGGTCATAATGAGGTATAACTGACAGCATTTAACAGTAACTCGTGTCTGTGGAGTCAGCTGACCCTCCAGAGGGTTTTCAGAGGCTGTAAATGACACAGGAGGAGACCGGGCATCTTTGTCCCGTGGAGCAGCTTGTGGATTCTAACCACCTGCCTTTGAGTTGGCAGCACAGCTTCTTACCCCCTAGGCCACCAAAGAGCCTATAACACTTCTCCACCACCACTTAATTAACCTCTTCATAGATGAAACGGAAGCTTGGGTGCAGCTGGAAAGTCAAAAGTCCTTAAAAATAATAGCTAATAGGGGAGTGCTGGTGGCCTAGTGACAAGAAGCAGGACTGCAATCCCACAGATAAGCGGTTCGAATCCACCAGATTCTCTGCCAGAGAAGGAGGAGCTCTCTCCTCCTGTACCAGTCAGATCCGATTTGACGATACACACACACACACACACACACACACACACACACAAACACACACACAGAATAATAATAAAATTTAAAAAAATAATAGCCAACAAGGGGTGGGGGAGTTTGTACACCAATGAAAGAATTTTTCAAAGAGAAGAGCGAACTGGGGGGCAAGGGATGGGGCAGGGGGAAAAGTGCAACAATGAATGAATGGAAATCCAAAGTCTCTGTAAAGGTTTATTAAAATTAATAATAAAAATTGTTTAAAATAATAGCTAACGTGCATTATCCAGAATCCCTGGGTGATAAGCACAGTTCACCTACTAGTTAGACTAGTAACCTATTAACTGGTAGTTTAAACTCACCCACGGGCTACTCAGAAGTCCTGTCTGGGAATCCAAATCTGAAAGGTCCCAGCTGTGGGCAGTTCACTCTGCGCATTAACTCAGCAGCAGCTATATCCCCTTATGTTCCCATTACCCACCTGGTCCCCTTCAAAGTCCTTGCCTACCTGTCACTATCAAGGTGATTCTGAGTCCTAGCAACCCTGGAGGACAGAGTAAGACTGCCCCATGGGGTTTCCAAGGCTAGACAGCTCATCTGTTTCCTTCCCTGAAGGGTTTGAACTCCTAAATTTTTGATTAGCAGCCAGCCCTTAACCACTGTGCCACCAAGCTGTTGTTGTTAGTGGTTGTCAAGTTGACAACTCGTAGCAGCACCTTGTGCAACAGAACAAAACCCTGCCAGGCCCTGTGCCATCCTCACCCATCTGCTGAGCCTAATCCAGTCACTGTGTTCGTTCAGCGCATTCTACTTCACTGTCACCAGGCCTGTCCTAAAAATAGTTGTACTTTTTTAAGAACAGTCGACCAAACAAGATGAAATTTCCCCCAATAAAACTCACAAGACATGGAGGGGTAGGCAGGAAGGATGAATGGACGGTAGAAACACAAGGAGGAAGTGGGAAGAGTGCTGTAAGTTAGAGTAAGGACGGCAATGGAACCACCTTACCTCTGTAACTTGATTTGTGCCACTATTAGAACCTCGACTCAGAATATTATTGCTTTTCAATTTTTGACTCATGCACTTTTAACTTGTTAGTTAAATTTGTATCTTCTAAGCTGCAGCACTTCCATGATACATCTTCAAGGATATGAACATGTACGGCTAAGCACAATTGATAACAGTGCATCTAAATTCCAAAATCAATCTCCATAATAGTCTATGTGTTTCCTACTGCCAAGGGGGCCCTTTAGAGTAGTGAGAGAAGACCTTCACCCTGAAACCCACAGCGTCCCTTTTCAGCAGGAAGTAGCTAAGAGAATATGCCATCCCCTTTTCCTTATGAATCAGGGTGAAGTCTCTCTCAGGGAGGAGTGATCGGGAATGGCAAGGGACACACTGACAAAGGAGATTAATCAGAACTGGCTTTGACAAGCACTGTGGCAATTGGACAATTAAAACAGACATGGG